TGAGGGTGAACATCCCAATCCACCTGTTGTAGATAGTCGTGCAGAGCTGGCACATTCAACCGTTTAAAAATTCCAACGCAAGTAATTTGTGGGATACCTTAGCTTAGTTTTGCTGACAAAATTGAGGGCTATGACGGCAAGATCGCTTTTTCCCAAGGGAGCAAGGATTGAGAGATTGTCAACTAGGCATTCTTCGTTTTTGAATACACAGTCTAAGCGCGATGGTGTCTGACTGTTTCTCCAACGAGTTGCCGACCTCACATTTTCATATAATCCTAAATCATCGATGAGGTTGAAGAACTGAGCTTCAACTGAGTTATCACCTCCAATATACGTGTGATCCGGGAAGTTGACACTAGGGAGATTAAAGTCCCCTAGAATCAGGATGTGTGAAACCGAGACGAGTAGAGCAGGATAGCCCTTCCAGCATACGACTATCGTACTCAACGTCGGCAGTTGGCTTCCTGTAAATGACTCCGACTAGACACTTTGAAGTACTGGACAATCTTACAGAGCACCATATGGATTCCTCAAGATTGCTAAATTCAAGGTTGTGAACTTGGTGCACCTCCAAGCAAGAACGTATGTATAGGGCTACTCCGCCCCCAATTCCTGATTTTCTGTCGTTGCGGAACAAAGACATCCCAGATAATGCTAACTCTTGGTCCGAGAACTGAGAAGATATCCGTGTTTCAGATATTCCTATCAGATGGGCCTTGTTAGGGTTGCTAAGTTCACGTAATTCATCCAATTTGTTTGGTAGACTCGCGGCGTTCATATATAAGCAGTTTATGCTTTCAATTTGAAACGCGTGAGCTTCGTCCTGTTTGTCTGTGTGAGCCTTACGTGAATGGACAGGTAGCCCACCTATATGAGGTTTGCCGAGGTGGTAGACCTGTCCTTTGCACGTTTTTTATGGTCCAGACAGTCCACAAGTAGAATGGTCAGCTCCATCTTGCCTTTGTGCTTGGTCCTAGCTTCGTATGGCCTATCCGGGTGCATTTGGATTCCAGGCGGCAGACGACGTCTGTTTGCACGAAATGCTTCCAGAGTTGCAGCCGCCATGTGGGGGGATGGGAAGATTATCTTCATTAAACGGGGTCGAGGGTCACCATCCTTCATGGATAGCTCGTCACATGCTGAGTCAGTATGTGTTTGAGCCTCACGGACTGTTTGATGAATTTCCATTCCCTGATGTCAGAGCTTGATTGAGTAGGGTCCTTATTTTCCGAAATACCTTGCACAATTATGTCTCTTCCGCGGAAAAACTTCTCGCGAGATTCTTTAGGAGTGGTCCATATGATATTACGCTCAGAGTACGGTATGTCGGGCAGTATTCTTACGTTACCATCGGATTTCAGCAAGTGGCTGGCTAGCAAGACGTCCTCTACGTCGATAGCATTTTTAGGTGTTACTCGAAGAAGCCTCGGGTGATTTAGATGCTTGGCATTCTTTCCTCGAGTGAGCCGGGTGACCGTTAAAGGCTCTATTCTAGGAAGTTCGAGCTTCTTGTTCAATTCACCCCAGAGCATCCTATCACTTTTGTCCTGCGGACTGGGAGGAAGGTCAGGATTGTCAATGAAGTTCATGATTATGAGAGAATCGTCACGAACTGTTGTTAATTTACCAGGTTTCCTGATGGGTTCAGGTTTAATACCTTGTTGTTTGGAAGTTGAAGCACGTTTATGAGTCCTACGCTCTTTGATGACCGGATGTGAATTCTTGGGAGTGGACTGTGCGACCAAATCACCAGTTGATTTTCGTACAACAGCTGGGTTGTTCAACTTAGATGATGCTACCTGGTTCTTTTTGCTATTTTTGACATGGATACAATCACCTACAGGGTTTTTGGGAACCACTGTTGTGTTTGGGGACCCTGATCTGGGAGACCCTAGGTTACTTAGAGAGTCTAATACCGTCGACGTAATGATTGTGCTGAGCTTCGACACGTCATCATTAGTGCTGGAGGATGCTTCATCAATGGTATACCTGTCGACATCCCTAATCTTGTGCTCGTTGCGCGCTCTTTTTTGTTCACCCGTTTTTTACGGTCGTTATCCAAGTTTGCTGACAAGTTGTTCCGCAGACCTGTCAGTAGGACGATGATGTTACTCAGCAAAGACTGCAGTGCCCAAGCTGCATGTGACACATACCCATTTTTGGTCCGACTTGCTAAATCTGTTGTAAGCAGTTACCGTCAGGTCTGTGCACGCTTCGTGGAACCAACCTTTGCAGTTGTCACATTGCATGCCAGTTGTAACAGCAAAACGGCATCCCGGACGTTTGCATGAGCTTTTCATGACTATGTTGAAGCAAACTATGTTATAGATGCTTGAAAAAGCCTAAGACAGTAAAAAAACACTAAAAATCAAACAGAAAACGGACAAAATGGATAAAAAACGGATAAAACGAGTGAGATAAACTGAATTAGTCTTTACGTGAAAAACAAAAAAAACCGAATAGTAAGCTGAGGCAAAACTACAGTTAACTATTAAATATGGTGAAAAAGTGATCTACCGAACGCATAGCTCAGAATAGATTCTTTAGAACTGAAATGGTACTTTTGTTGCGCAAGAACACAGCAAAAGTTTGATAAATGCAAATCACGTTCGAACTAAACTTCCCGTTCAAAAAGCGCGCGCGTAACTCAAAACCTGTTGCTGCACTTATCATTAGGTGAAATACTTTAGCTATCGCCTGTTATTCGTTCGCTTGTTAGTGCTTCACGTGTTTAATATACTGTTCAACTTTTGTGTTATTTTTAAAATTTATACAAATCATTTCCTGTTATTCTGTTACTACGTGTAGTGCGTTTAAGTCGTATTCATATAGCGAATATAGTGTGGGGAGCTATGGTTGTGGCTCCTCATCCCAGTGTTTTTTCCGTTCGATTATTTTTCTGCTAGCCCTTATTTTGTCTTCAGCTCATGCTTGTATAATGCATATTTCTAGGGTTACTATACTAGTCATTTTGGGCGAGACCGTTAATTTATGTACGAACTGACCTGAAAGAATATATCAGGCCTTGAATTTCGTTCCAAAATTCATTTATCCATAAAGCTAATTGGTATTTTGGCACTAAATGATGTCAGTTCATAGTGAAAGCCTCGACTCTAATTCCTAACCCTGACATTCAGTTGTCAATTCTTGTCCTGATTCTTCACACAAATCTACAACGTTTGTGTAGTTCCAGCAAGTAGTTGGACATCCTTAAGGTCATTTAAGCACCACCTGAAGTTCGTGCATAGATTGAAGTCCCTCTGTCATTCACGAAGCACTTTATCAAACCACTGTTTGAAGCTTGTGAGTTATTTTAACAGGTATTCTTGTATTTTGTCGTGCAACCTGGTCTTCTTTTAATAAGTAAGCTTATCATGTAAGAACTGCCATTGCAAGCGCCGCAACTCTTATCAGTAGATTGTGTGGTCCTTCCCGTGTACTCACCTTAAAAGAAAGTCCTTAAATGCCCTGGTACGGCCGAGGGTGGGAGAATTAGCTCTCTCTCAAAATGCTCTCACATAGCCACGCGTATACAGTCACTGCCAGGGAAGTCCTACTCACTGCCTTCCCGTGTCGGGGGTGTTGTTTACAAAATTGAGAGGACGAAAAGCGAATATCCGGTGCTTTAACCGGGTTGGTGGACACTGAGAGTCCACCTAGGGGAGTTGAAAGACCCTGACTCCAAACCGATATTAAATATGGGCCCCAGTATCCTGGAGGAACAAATGGTGTATGAGCCAATCGTTGATCACCGGCTGCTATAAAACTGCATCTGCTCCACTGCCTTGTGGATCAGACCTTTAGGTCGGAGGCTCTGAGTGTGGCGCCTTAGGAATACCACCTGCTTCAGTTTGGGCAGCCGGGCAGTATCGTGGCCCACACACAAATCATGTGGCGCTTATGCATTCGGTGCCCATTTGTACTCATATTTAAGTGTTCAAGTAAATAACAAATGTTCAACTTGTCTATAAAGTGTTCCAAGTGTTGCGATAATATCCCAGTCAGGTGGATAGGTCAAAATTTAAGTACGGGTTTTAATTTTAATTCCAAAGATCGTGTTTACTATGGTATTATTCCGGTTACTTGGTGTTGGGTCTGACATGTACATGTTTTTTTTACTCTGCAAGATGTTCTGAAATAGTCTGTCGAGAATGATAACAGATGTAATACATCAGACCGCATGATGTACTAGAGCTCAATATCATTAAGTTATCGAACAACGGTCGCTACTTTCATAATTTTCTTTCATATTTAAGTGCATGTGATACGACTAATTGACCGTTTGGTATTCGTATTTTATTATAATGTTATTGGTCATGCTCCTGTCAATACGTGTATATCGAGTTCCACTTTTGACCCTAAAGTTGTTTCAAACGTTTCGTTATTGTGACTAGCGACTTTAGTATAACATGCGCTCACAATGCTTGAGACAACCTGTTTTGTCAGTACAGGCCGTGAAAGTATTAGACTCTACAACTTTACTGCCTTTAAACCCTTAATTTCTAGAAAAACCATCCATTATGCTTGATAATCAAGTGTTTGGTTAATGGTAGCAGTTTTTTTCAAATTATAAACCTGCTCTAGTTCTTACAAAAAGTGCTATCGTGAAATTGTTTGAATGTATTTACGTTCTAAAGCCAGTGCAAAACTAACATTGATTTATACTGTTAATAGCTACTACATTCTTGCATGTGATCCACCATAACTGGCTGCATTAAATAAAATTTCCACAACTTGATGTCGCACTTGACTATTTTCCACGCATTCCTGGATCACTCTTTTCCTCAAGATAATTACATTGATTCGGAACCTAGCTACGAAAGGTTAGCTCGTCAAGATGTAGAATGCACGTCTTATGAAGCAAAACTTACTCGTGAATGTATTGGAGGTCAATTAAATCTCACAGATTTGTTTTGCGAAAATATTTTTCCCACCGAGTGTGGTGTCACCAAGTTTGGAGAGATGAAGGTTAGTTGAGTGTTTTCTTGTCATATTTTTAGACTGAGGCTGTTATCGTGCGTGCGATCGAAAAGTTAGGGATAGTATTTTTAACAAACTTGGTTCTCGACTTTCTCATAATCGATCTGTACTCAGACCAGGAGCTATCAAATATGAGTCAGCAGCAATTGATGTTGTTTTGGATGCCTCCCTCTCAATTGTTCCTCGTGAGACTTTGGCCAATTGGACTGGCTCAACTGAAATTGGCATTAGTTCTTCGTCAAGTACTGAAAGTTTGAATCATGGTAAGAGGGTAGATATAAATAGGAAAACAAAAGAGCTGCTGGAAAAAAGAATTCGAAATTCCAAACCTCAACCGTCATACATCTTTCAGGTACGCTTTTATGTATTAATGTCTTAAATATCTGGCATTATGTGTTCAAATAGTTATTTGTACAAAATTTTGATGGGAACTGAACTTGATAAAATATACTGTGTAACTGTTTCTTGACTTTATTGTACCCTTTCTACCCGTCACCTACCAGTAAGTGGAATATAAACAGTATGCCGCTCCAATTATCATGGTTGTAGCTAGTTGGTTAGGTATTTCCTAACGTTATATTTTGTATAGCTTAAATACTTAACACAAGAAAGTGCACTCACCACTTCTGATACCGCCGTCTATATTGTTGTGCATCGATCATTGACGTTCCTAATAACGACTGTGGGATATAGTTTAATTGTGGGTCATCTCGATTTCTGAGTGTACTTTCAGTTGCCGTGGGATCCCGACTAACCGGATGCCATGTGAAAGGTAATGAAAAGATATAACACCCTCACAACTGTTAACTCTTCCTTTAGCCACAGAAACATCCTTAAGGACTAATATACCACTCGTTTAACTCTGAATCATTAACACACTGAAGGCTGATACTATGTTATAGTAACTGGACCCTTTTTGGACAATGGCTTTAAACTTCACGAAGTCTAGAGGCAATAAACTTTAATCATTGACGAGAACGGTAACCAAAGTACTGTCTGCATTAGGTGGTTGAAAGTTGTGGATCTGAGAATTAGTCCTTTTCTTGGTTTGTCATCGTCACAACATCTTACGATAACGTGGTAAAGTAACTATACAGAATCACACAACAAATAGTAACAACATCAGGTTTTGTTGTGCGCTAAAAATTGACTAGTTCAGGTCATACTATATAGTTCCTGTGACAACAACGATTGCTGCACTTTTGTTTTAATTTTAAAGTAACGAGTTTCAGTATTCCATATGCTTCAACGTAACTATTTATTTCGATAAAAGATCTAAATTGAAATATGGCTTCCATAAATTGTTTTGTCGAACTGTTTTCATATTGTGAACCAAATGACCGAAACACGAATACTTAAGACTGATTTCTATATATCTTCTGTTAGAGCTTGTTGATAAAATATCCTGAGAGTATATTCCACTTAATCAGCATTTTATGTAGGGCGTTTAACATCTAGTTTTCCTTAGCATCATTGGCTCGAGTTATTTTTATGTTGTTTTGATTTTAACCACAGTAATATGAATTTTCACACTTCTGTAGATTTTATTGGTGTGGATGTATCAATCAAAACTACAGATTGTCTTATCTATAGCATAAGTTATTGTATAGTCGTGTATCATGTTGCTACATACTCATAATTCTGAGAAAAAGTCTACATCATCGCATATGATTCTGATTTGTCATTTACTAACAAAGCACTTACCTTTCAGCTAGTAGGCTGCTGGTTAAAACTATCACTCAAAGCGATTTGAGCAACCGGAGAGAATCATTGGCCCTCACACAAGGTGTAGATCAACACCAATTGCTTTAATCTGTACTTAGTAGATGACTTTTATTATTTATTTATTTGAACACATATATATTGGTACAGGAGTGCGCCGAATATATATGCGCCACACAAAACAATGAGAATCTAAGAAGAAATAAAAAGTGAGGAACGTAAAAAAATAATAATAAAACAATAACGAAGAGATTGGTGTAAGGTAGTGTAATAATAATAATAGCAATAGTAAGGGAACAGAAGGGTACAATCAGAAGAAATCTTTCAGTTAAGGAAGATACAACCCCTTTTTTTATGAAGTAAAAGAAGGTTACAGCAGGATCGCCACTGGCTTCTATTCTGAGCCATATCTGATAACGTCTCTAGCCACTGTGTAGCACCATCTCTCGGACCCCAACCAGGGAGTCGTGAAGGACCAACACAAGCCAGTCCTTTGCAGCTTTCTTTCATACCACGACACCATGTCATGCACTGACCACCTCTCCGCTTTTTCCAACCAGTCCCAGAGTCGGCAAATAATGCACGACGTGGAATTCTCTGGGACGACATTCGTAGAACATGTCCAAGCCACCGAAGTCGGTGTTTCAAGATGGTGACACCAATTGCATTATCATCTCTGTGCCCGAACACACGATGCCGAACCTCTGCATTACTGACATGGTGTTGCCACTGAATGTCAGCAATCCTTCGGAGACAGCGATGATCGAACACAGAGAGTCGTCTAACGTCCTCAACTCGGAGAGGCCAGGTTTCACAAGCATAGAGCAAAACTGCTCTCACCGACGCGTTGTAGATCCGACCTTTTACAGCCAGACTAACATCACGAAGGCGCCAAAGATGGCCCAGATTGGCATAAGCCGCTCTGGCTTTCACTATACGTGCATTGATCTCATCACTCACGCCACCACCAGCACTTATGCAGCTACCCAGATACACGAACTTCTCGACTACGTCTATCTGCTCACCATCCAGGGTGAGTACAGGATTAGAATCCTGCCAGTCTTGTAGAAGTACTTTGCACTTCGAAGGTGCAAAGCACATACCATACCTACGGACACTGATTGCCAACTGATTAAGTGCGGATTGCATGCCTTGGGCATTATCGCACAGTAAGACAATATCGTCCGCATACTCAAGGTCGAGAAGTCTTTCTCCAGGCAACAGATCCACACCACCATTACTTACATTCATCAGAGCTGTTTCCAGAATGTCATCGATGGCAAAGTTGAAGAGGAATGGTGAGATTGGGCAACCCTGCCTAACCCCACTGCTCGAATGGAACAATGGAGAGAGGTGGTTGTATGCCCTCACTCTGCCTGAGGTGTTTTTATATAGGGCTTTTAGGATGTTAATAAACTTCTCAGGCACACCCTTCTTCAATAGACAATCCCAGAGAACAGTCCTATCCAACGAATCGAAGGCAGCCCTGATGTCAAGAAACACTACGATTGTTGGCCTTTGATAAGTATGGCGGTGTTCTAACATTTGGCGGAGGGTGAAGATATGATCAATACATCCTCGACCAGAACGAAACCCAGCCTGCTCCTCGCGAGTCAATCTTTCTCGGGTTTTGAACAACCTACGAAGAATGACGGAAGCCAATAGCTTGGACGCAATCGGAAGTAGACTTATCCCCCGATAGTTGTTACAGGAACGACGTGAACCCTTTTTAAAGATAGGGACAACTATCGACTCATTCCATGACGTTGGTACACTCTCTAGTTCCCAAACCTTTGTAAACAACGTCGTCAATTCCTTAGTCAAAAAGTCACCACCATCTTTAAAAAGAGCCGGAGGTAAGTCATCTGGGCCAGGTGATTTGTAACGCTTCAAGAGTTGGAGTTCCTTGCGGACTTCCTCCTCATTTGGTGGATCAGTCGTCACCGGCCATGGAGGGCAGGACAGTCTGACCGATGTTGCCGGAGCAGCAGGCCAGTTGAACTGCCCTTCGAAAAATTCTGCCCATCGTCCAAGACGTCGATGGATGTTAGTGATTGGCATCCCATCATCCTCGCAGATTGTTTCACTCACACCAGACTTCTTGCTGCCAGTGGCTCGGATGAGTTGGAAGAGCTTCCGGTAGTTACCAGATGCAGCTGCTGCTTCCAGCTCATTAGCACGCTTCGACCACCAGGCTTCTCGGTCCTTACGCAAGCTTTGCCCAATTTCCTTACGTAACATCCTTCGTTTATGGTCAAACTCACGGTCACCCGGAGTAGACCGACGGGCTTCAATGAGTTGTAAGGAACCAGAAGAAACCCAGTGCTTAAAAGCGGGACGTTTCGCAAACCCACAACTGACTGTTCCCGCCATTTTCATGGCGTCATGCAATTGCAACCAATGCTCATCTATACTTTTCGGTGGAGTGGTAGCTAGCCTAGAGGCTAGCTCGGTTCGATACTTACTTGCAACAGAAGTTGCAACCAGCTTGCTAACATCAATCCGTTGATGGCGGTCACTTCGTTGTCCACTGAAAAGTAAGGTAAGATTGGCGCAGACCAAGGCATGGTCAGAGTCCAGATAGGTACTCCAAAAGGAGCGGCAGTCTTGTACACAACCACGCCAGCGGTAGCTGATCGCGATGTGATCAATCTGAGTCCAGGCTTGAGATGCAGAGGGAGGACGCCAGGTGGCACATCGGCGATGACTGTGCCGAAAGTTAGTGCTAGCCAGAAACAGGTTGTGGTCTGTGCAAAGTTGCAGTAGACGGTCCCCGTTATCTGACCTGCGACCAACGAGTCCCCATCGGCCACCTAAACGACTCTCTTCTGTGCCTAGACGCCCGACCTGAGCATTCAAGTCTCCGGCTAGTACTACAATATCTGTCGAACGCACTTTCTGGAGAAGAACAGTAACTGGTGGTAAAACTCATCCTTGATTGCATCCGGGCTGCAATCTGTCGGGGCATAGGCGGAGATGACGAAAAGACATCGTTTCTCACGCCGATTTCTTCTCACTTTGATGGAACTTTCTAATCTAACAGCACATAACCGACTGTTAATGGGGATCCAATCGATCCAATCGACACCAACGCCAGCAAGACCAGACGAAGATGCCACAGGGTCCCCGGATAAGCGCACGTAAAACAAGCTTTTCGAAGCGACAGATGGAGAGCGAATTTGTAGTACTTCACCAGAGTCTTGAATACGGGTCTCGGATAGACAGCAAACATCAATATTAAGACTTTCCAAAGACATAGCCAGCCCTATCTGTTGTCCGACCTGCATAAATGTGCGAACGTTGAAGGCAGCCAGTTTGAATGGTGCACGTTGTTTCATAAAAACTGCTTCAGTATTCGTATTCGGTGGTAACATAAAATTTTCAACCGGACAGTGACTCGAGAACGTTTAGATACAGTCGGATTTCCATCATAGATGAGCTGCTGTATAAGTCGAAAAAAATGAGTATAAACAGAGTGGGAATAACCGAAGGTGAATAATGACGTAGTAAATAATAATAATAATAATAATAATAATAATAATAATAATAATAATAATAATAATAATAATTGAATCATTTGAATGTTCGTCGAAGCAAGAGAATTAGTTTCCATGATCATAGACAGTTCAGTTTATTAATTGTGTGTGGGCTGTGATACTGCCCGGGTGCCCAAACCGAAGCAGGTGGTTATCTTAGGGGGCCACATCCTGAGCCTTTGATCTAATGGTCTAACCCACAAGGCAGTGGAGCATCGTAGATGACGAAAACAATCCTGTAGCCTTTTTTCCATTTAGATTTTAATTATATTGTTGAAAAAGAAGGAAGATACTTAGCACTTTCTGCATTCAGATTCTTGAGACTTCGAACCTAATTTAAATTAATACTAGAGAACACACTAGTTTCTGTTTCATTATCCATTGTTGATATAATGTAAAACTAGCAAATTCCTATTATTCCTCCCACATCGACTTTCAACATTGAACCTCCTGTTTTGGTTTCCTCCTCAAATGTCACCATAGACAACGATTCTAGTGCGTAAAACATTGTCCCAGGTCTACTGAAACCGCGCTGCAAACTACACATTGGAGCCTTCAATGTACGCACCCTGTGTCAAATCGCCCAGCAGGCGTCCTGGGCTAAAACCCTAGGATCTCGTACCATTGATGTATGCTGTGTCTCCGAAACACACATACAGGATCCTAGTGTGGTCATTCACTTGACGTCGACTCGTCAAAACAGAGAGTCGATGAGATGCACTCTCCGTGTATCTGGCGACCCGGTGGCTAGTTTTCGTGAACTGGCGTGTGTAGACATAGCACTAAGTACGAGGGCAGAACAAGCACTATTGGAGTGGATCCCTATTAACAGTCGTCTATGTGTTGTTCGGCTCAACGGCTCCGTTAGAACTCTGAAGGATAGGGACACACATCGTTGCCTTTTCGTTGTTTTTGCCTATGCTCCCACTGACTGCAGCCCGGATGAAGTGAAAGATGAGTTTTGCGGAAAGCTTTCTGAACTTCTTCATAATTCTGAACGCTCAGACATAGTACTCGTAGCAGCTAGCTCAGATGAATTGGCTCCAGAGATCTTTAAGTATGTCGGTTCAATTTTAGCGATTAGGTTGACTGATATTTTAGCTAAAACCTGGGAGTTTGACGTAATCTCATCTGGCTGGTCACAATCACTTATCGTTCCAATATATAAGAAAGGGTGAAAATCATCTAGTGACAACCATAGAGGGATTAGTTTGACTAATGCAGCATGTAAAATATTAGCTTCAATAATTATCGATCGCCTAACTAAGACTCGTGAACTGCAAACACGAGAAAATCAGGCTGGCTTCAGACCTGGTCGTGGCTGCATCGACCACATATTCATCATTCGTCAGGTTCTAGAACACAAGCATGCAAGCAGCATTTGACTCTATACCGAGAGGTTCTATGGCAGTGTCTGTCATTAAAAGGCGTACTTCAGAAGTACATAAACCTTGTGAAGGCTCTTTACTCGAACACTACTAGTCAAGTTATAGCATAAGGTGAACTGTCATCTGATTTTGCAACTTCACGTGGTGTCCGTCAAGGCTGTCCACTTTCGCCATTTTTGTTCAACATCATCATAGACATACTGATGGAAATAACGCTCTCATCGACTGAATTTTGGTGCATTGATCTTCCACCAGAAGGTCCACTTATCGACTTGGAATACGCAGATGGTATAGTCCTGTTTGGTGAAGACGCTGATAAAATGCAGTCTTTTGGTAGTACTGAGTAGCAACGCCAGAACGTTTGGGATGCGTTTCCTCCTTTAAATGCAAGTTGTTGCTTCAGGACTGGCCTGCAGCAACACTTGAACTAAGGATAGGAAGTGAAGTAGTCGGACGCGTCGAAAACTGCACTTATCTTGGAAGTCTGTCCGGCCCTAACGGGTTGATATCTGACGAATTCTCGGCACGGATTCAGAATGCTCGTTTGGCTTTCGCCAACTCACATCAATGGCGAGTGCGAGTTATCCACCTATCAGTTAAGGGACGAGTATATTGTGCGGCAGTTCGTTCTGTTTTACTTTACGGCTGCGAAACGTGGCTATTAAGAGTAGAAGATACTCGTAAGCTACTAGTATTTGACCAAAGATGTCTTAGAAATATTGCTCGCATCTGCTGTTATCACCGGGTGAGTAATAATGAATTATACACGGGGTATTAAGGAATGATGGTAAATGCGTTGATGAGGTTGTGAAGCTTCATTGACTGAAATGGTGGGGCCACGTATTACGCAGGCCCAACCACCAATTATCATGACGCGCAAAGGTGACCGATGTTGGGGATGGTTTGAAGAAAGTTAGGGCGGCCAGACCGAAACGTGCCATCAGTGCTTGGGGTCACTAACTTCTAGTTTAAGCCATGTTGGTAGATGCAGACTACTAGGTTGGGGTCCGCATGACTGTCGTTAGAGACTGAGTGACATGGCTGAGAATCGATCACAATGGTGTAGGTGTATACACTCTCTGTCTTCCCATAAACTAAGAGATTAAAATCGCTTCATATCTCGTTTTCTACGAACTAATTCTTTCTTCCCGTACTATGTCCTTGAATGCATTGTTTCTTTTATATTATTGCAACCACTGAATGAAGTACTTCTATGAATCCGGTGTTCATCTTGTGCTAATGAGGTATGGTAACGTGGACCGATGCATATATATGCCTGGTCCTACGTTGTAGCTGACTGAATGACTTACTGATAGCGAATTACTTTGGAACTACTATCTGTTCTATGAAAAGGCAAAAATTGATAACTTTATTGTAGTGTGGGCTACTTATACGGACTGATATAAGTAGGATGTTATAGGATTTCGAAGTGAAATGCCTACCGACAGAATATTGAAATAAAGAGAAGAGGCTGGAAAACAGAGAGCAATCGGAATAACAACAGAATTGGAAGAATGATGGAGTATGTAAAGGATAACTCAAGGAAGATGTGCAGATGATGTATTTAATGTATGACAATCGTATTTTACAAAGTCACTTTGTGATTTTACATAAAATAATAAGTCTTTTTACTTCACCAAGTCTTCGTTCACTGCGGTATCAATGTTAATAGAGTTTATTTATCCGACTGCAAAAACTAATTTAAAATTTTCGTATTTTACTTAAAAATTACAGTTAATCCACTGAAATACAAATAGGAACATTAAATTTGTTAATCTCTATGGTGTAAATTTTTCGTAGTAATCTACTATCAAATGATTTAATACAATTATATCAATAGTTTTCGTAATTCTGATTTCTAGGAGGATACCACTTGTGAACTCCCACCTTTAACTGAACTTGTCGACAACCCGGCATTCAATTGGGAATTTGAACTAGATACCTTTCAAAAACAAGCTATTTTGTGCCTTGAGCGTAATCAAACAGTCTTTGTAGCAGCCCATACTTCAGCTGGGAAGACAGTTGTCGCAGAATATGCTTGTGCTCTCTGTCGACGTCGGGGCACAAGAGTTATCTATACGAGTCCGATTAAAGCTTTATCGAATCAAAAGTTTTATGATTTCAGGTATACTGTTCTCACCGTATCTTGGGATGAATCGCGTTTTAATTTGGTAGCTAATAGCTTCTTATTTTTTTATATTTAATGTGAACCTTGAAAAATGTAGTTCTTATTTTGTTTTCAATTTTTTAATAGGTGTCTTTAAATAAAAAATATAGTGTTTAGTATTTCAGTCATTGTAGACCATTTCAAATTAAAATTAGTGAAGGTACCACTTGCGAAATCATACTACCTACAACCTAATAATCTCAGTCTCTTTTTAAGACTTTGATCCAACAATGAACCTTATCTATCAGGGATAAGCTTTTGTTGTAATAAGTGGTATTTTCTAACCTAATGGTTAGTAGCATCATGTGAACGATGATAAGTCAAATCAATAGTAACCATCGTTTTCAGGATCCCTAGAGGAATTTATTGTCTCAGGAGCATGCGCTCAGACAATGTTTTAGTCCAAACGTACCCTAATAGAAAAATTCAGTACTGTATTAAAAATGTGTGTAAAGATTGACCAGACATTCCAGTGGCGGATGATAAAGCAATCAGCGTAATAAATGACAATCGCAGAATTAAATACGATAAGGTATTGGTAGTAAGCAAAACATTGGGTGGTTTTTTACACCTAACAAAGCAGTTAAGTAAGAAGCTGATAATCCAAATAATAGTTGAATATAATCAGTCAAGATTCCATGCTCACAACAGACAGCTGGAACGATTGATCGAACACTGACTAGTCTTAATTCCCTCATCATTTAGGCATAACGACAGTGAGATACAAGAATCCCTCTCAACTCTTATCAGTCAGTCAGTCAGCTACAACGTAGGACCAGGCACATATGTGCATCGGTCCAAGTTGCCATACCTCATTAACACAACAAGATGGACACCGGATTCATATAAGTGGTTAATTCAGAGGTGGTAATATATAGGAGAAAGATTGCATATAAGAATATAGTATAGGAAGAAAGAATTAATTAGCAGAAAGAAAGATATGAAGCGATTTTAATCTCTTAGTTTAAGAGAAGACAGAGGGTGTATACACCGACGCCATTGTGACCGACTCGGAGCCATGTCACCAAGAGTCTCCAACCATTGGTTACGATAGTCACGCGGACCCCAACCAAGTAGTCTGCATCTACCAACATGGCTCAGACTAGAAGTTAGTGACTTCAAGCACTGATACCAGGTTTTGGTTTGGCCGCCCCTAACCTTCTTCCAACCATCTCCAACACCGGTTAGCATTGCACGTCGTGGTAATCGGTTTTCAGGCATACGTAATACGTGGCCCAACCATCTCAGTCGATGAAGATTGACAACCTCATCAACTGATTTACCATCATTCCCTAATACCCTGCGTCTAACCTCACTATTACTTACCCCTCGGTGATCCCAGCAGATGCGAGCAATATTTCTAAGACATCTTTGGTCAAATACTAGTAGCTTACGAGTGTCTTCTACTCTTAATAGCCACGTTTCGTAGCCGTAAAGTAAAACAGAACGGACTGCCGCGCAGTATACTCGTCCATTTATTGATAGACAGATATCTCGCCTTCGCCAAAGGTGACGTAAGTTGACAAAAGCCAAACGAGCTTTTCGAATCCGTGCTGAGATTTCGTCCGATACCAACCCATTAGGGCTGATCAGACTTCCAAGATAAGTGCAGTTGTCGACGCGTTCGACTACTTCACCCCCTATCCTTAGTTCAAGTGTTGCTGCAGGCCAGTCCTGAAGCAACAACTTGCATTTAGAGGGAGAGAAGCGCATTTCAATCTCTTGTAAAGGTTGAAAATTCGGTGGTAAGTATTCTGTGCTTCTGTTCTTTTTATTGTGCCATTCACTTATATCTGGTGGTCGTTGTATTGTATGTTTGAACTTGAGGGTTGTGTTGAGATTTTTTTGTCGTCGGTTTATGGGAGTCAATAAAAATTTCCATTTGAGTTAGTTTCACAATGTACTAAACCACTTCGACATCCAATTGTTGAAGTACGTATCTGTAGTGTTTTTATATTCCTTAAGTAATCCTGGCAACTAGATTTCTAAGTGAAATTAACAGTGTTTAACTGCATATATCTTACATATCGCTTTTCAATAACCTTTTCTAGACAAACGTTTTACTACTGAAAAATAGTATATAATTTTGTCTTTACTGTGTGCTACACCAAACACTTTTATTTTTAATAATTAATCTAGAAAGTTTGAAAAAATTAATTCGGGTAGCGAAAAGTATTAAATAACATAAAAGCCTAAAATTTAGCATTAAAATACAATTCAATACGTCTACCTGCTGCCAGCTGTAACTAACAGCAGACTATTGCTAACCTGGTTTGTTGTCTCCTAACTACCATTTTCGTATTTTTTGAAATGGATTGTAGACAGACATTCGGAGATAGTGTTGGACTAATTACAGGTGATATCAAACTGGCTCCCGAATCTACAATTCTAATAATGACCACGGAAATTCTGCATAACATGTTGTGTAACGATGCTGATGTTATCAGAGATCTGGAAATAGTCATTATGGACGAAGCAAGTATTTTTTAAAATATTTACTGCCTATATGTTCATAATTCTCTTCATACTGGTGTATTTATTTATTTGAACACATAAATATCGGTACGAAGGGTCACCGAAGAGATATGCGCCACACAAGTCATGTCATTTGTGTATGGACTGTGATACTGGTTGGGTACCCAGATCGAAACAAAATCCAACTCAGCATTTACATATATATTCATAAACCCAGCTGTATCCCACCGTATTAATTTTCCCAAAAACCTTATTGATAAGAGGGTTTATAGTTGAATCTCTAGTTTAACGATCTACAATACTAGGAATTAGTCTTGTACTTGGACACACCTTTCGATTTTAGTTTGTAATCCATGAACCATATGTCAAGCTTAAAATGCCTTTGTAAGTGAGTAATGTTTAAAATCCATGATCTAACTGTTGTGAACTAAGGACAATCCAATAAACTACACAGGTCAATTTTCTTTTTACAATCGTATTTTTGTAATTTATGTCATTCTTTGATTATTTTAGCCTATTTAGTAACGTACTCTATTTCTTAAAATCATTTCACAGAATCAAACTGTGTATAAATCTTTATATTATCAAAATTCTATGACTTTGTAACATTGATCATAAAATTTACATACACTGACATATCTAACTTCATTGAATACAACAAAGTAGTAACCTAGTGCAGTGGCTATGTGCACTGCTGTCTTGTTCCAGATCATGGGCTGAATAAGATTAATAAAATGTTTAGTTAACTGAGAAATCTTATCATCAAGTCTACGTCTTTCCAGATTATTCTTTGATCTGTTACTATTTAAAGATAAACAAATCGTTTGTGGTTATGATATATTTTAGTACTTATCAGACTTCATATGTTCCATAATTGATTAACATATAACCTTATTAAAAGGTCTTTTTGTATATATCTAATAGATAGGATGTGGCTTCCAGTAAAATCCAGGTTGTGCGTTCCGTCCCACTTGAGACTCGTCATCTGGATATATCTGCATCCTAGAGTTGATGTTCGCTTTGGGATTCAGACTCAGTACATCTTACTTCAAATGTTAACGCCACTAATTCCTCATAGCCACTAACTTGTGCAACGAGTATAAATTTTAATCTAATTCGGAAAGGTTTGGATTATCCAATTGTTAATATTTCGACTGAATTTGATCAGTGTTATCCATCTATTCCATATAAACTTGCTTCATAGTGGCTATTTTGAGGCAATCCCCACCGGGCTCATATGTGCTAAGACGGATCAAAATTCAGTCAAAATATCAAAATCGGGATAATCCAAATCATTACAATTTAAATACGTATATTGTAACAGATTTTGAAATCTGTGCTAGTTCTTCAGTGGGGGTACTTTTTCTAGCTCTAATGAATAACCGTCAAAAGCCGACAACAAAACACGGAATGTCCATCAGTTCAAGTTTTAATTTGTCACAACACAGAAAAAGTCTAACGCAAATAGAGGCACATGAATACAAACGAAATAGACCATTTCAGCTTAGATGCTACAATGTGTTCAATATGTAATTACAATCTGAATGTATCTGCTGGATTGTGATTGATCTCAGGTCATGTTATCATTATTTGAATTCATGAAGGAATCGGATAATCTTCGGTGATTGGTTCTTCTGGAGGATCTCATTCACGTAGCGTTCAATGCTTATATCAGCAGTTAGTGGCGTAATAATCACTCTATATCTCAATCTTTCCACACTTCCCCTCTTTCTCTGACCCTATAGTACTCAACAGTACACGAAGTGGCAACCTAACATTCTCAACGTATATCTTGACTGCTTTAGTCGATTGATTTATCTCTCTTGTTTTGGACTTAGCTTTATGTTGACAGTACCCACTCATTGGTTTTCCTTTACACGATTGTATTCTAGATACACCGTATATATATTATGTCTGTTGGTCTTTTCTCACAACTCTATTTTAAATTATAGCTTACCGTTGCGTTGTATAGTTGCGCTTTGATACGTAGTTTATTTTTCGAATAAAGAGACTCGCCAGTGGGCTCATTCACTACGGTCTGTGCTGTCTGACTTAGTGACTGACTGCCACAGTGTTGATGCACCAACTAGGCACCATTATTGTGATGACCTGGTGAAACTATACTGAATACAATGCTTATTTACTCAAGTTCTATCATGCTAGGAACATAGTTCTGAAAATAATTTGACGAAATTTTTCATTCTGATTAAATGTTTTCATGATCCAATCGTTATTTCATTACTGATGTTATTATTTGTGATCTCAATCTCTTCAGATTTTCTACCCATAAATATGCTTTAATGTCAACCACAATGTATTTTGTTCGTTTTATTTTGCTAAGCATTTATTGTAACTTCTTTATTAACTAACGTATTTGCGTCTTCTACTTGAAATATTACTATTATTGTAAGCAAAAGTGGAATACAGGACGCGCGGTTCGTTCTGTTCGATACTCGTCAACTGGATTAATGTTCCCTCCGAAACTCAAATCCAGTTTCGTTCGCTTTAAACGTAATTGTGTTATCCACTTAAGTCATGTCCCGATAAGCATAATAAATGGTAACTTTTGGATCCGTTTATGGACCAATACGATAAGTATATTTTTATCGTATAATTGTTATGTAACTAAAATGTTCATATCCGTGTCCCTCTTATTATGAGCCTTATTTTGACCTATGAACTATTACTATACGATTTACCATTCTTGAATTATGGCTTGTCTATTAATTACTACCTCTCACATTCACAGCCACATTTGCCTAGTTCTTGTACAAATGTTGTTTCATATTTTATGGTACAGTGTGGTCTGTCTGGTTGGCATATAAACCCAGTATGCTTGAAATAAACGATTCATATCGTGGAGGCTGAGATTGGTGTTCTGGACTTAACTGACTGGGCTAGGCAGGAAGCAGGACCGATAAATACTCTAGACTGCTCGTACGGGTTTACGCGTCATTGGTCCGATCGATAATTCACTGCTCTCTAATTGGCGGTATCGTTACGTTATACATTAACAGGGCCCTCGGGCCACAAGTTATAAAAATTTAGCTACTGAATCCTAATAGCCATTAGGTGAAGTATTAATTCATTTTTATATTGTTTATTTAAATCTTCCGATTGATGTATAGAACTGCACTTGACCAGTCTCTTATTGGCATATGTGCATCCTTTGCGGATTAGTTGTAAATGTAGACTATTCAGAGTAGTTGCTAAGACTTCATAAGTTCATTTTATTGTGTAAATTTTACTGTTCTTGCCTTGTTTAACTCATCAAGCCCCCAAATGCCCTGGTACGGCCGAGAGTGGGGAGAGTCCGCTCTCCCTCTCGAAATGCTCTCACATGGCCACGCGTATATAGCCTCTGCCAGGGAAGTTCTACTCACTGCCTTCTCGTGGCGGGGTGTTGTTTACGAAAATGAGAGGACAAAAAGCGAATGTCCGGCGCTTTAACAGGATTCCAAACCAATGGTGCACATGGGCTCCAGTATCCTGAGGGAATTAATGGTGTATGAACCAATTGTTGGTCACCGGCTTCCATGGTACTGCATCTCCTCACGGTGCTCCATTGCCTTGTGGATCAGACCTTCAGGTCGAAGGCTCGGGGAGTGGCCCCCAAAGAAAACCACTTGTTTCGGTTTGGGCACCCGGGCAGTACCACAGCCCTCACACATGTCAAATGAGATTTGTGTGACGCATATGTATTTGGTGCTTCCTTGTACCAATATCTATGTGTTAAAATAAATAAATAAAAATAATAATAGATATTTTGGTATAATTAGTCAGTCACTCATATTTTAAACAATTTTAATCTCCAACTACTGTTATATTTATGAACTAAACAATTGTAATCTATCATAGTGATTTTGTTTATTGTATTTACAATCTGTTTTTCTAATTATGTAGCCAACCAAGGTAATAGTTACTTTTTATGTGTTCTTTTAGTGCTCAAAATGTTTATATGTATACGTATATTTCTCTTTCTCTACAGGTTCATTATGTCAATGATGTGGAAAGAGGTCATATATGGGAACAAATTATGATAATGCTGCCTAAACACGTGTTATTAGTTATGTTAAGTGCAACAGTTCCTAATAAACTTGATTTTGCTGATTGGTTAGGACGTGTACGTGGAACTGAAGTTCATGTAGTTGCAACTAATAAACGTCCAGTTCCATTGGAACATTTTCTTTTTACCGGTATGGATGGTCAACGTAGTAAAGATCATCTTCATCTAATTGTAGATCAAGCTGGTCAATTCAATTTACCAGGTTAAGCTGTTTTCTTTTTAATGATATATATATATATATATATATATATATATATATATATATATATATATATATATATATATATATATATATATATATATATATATATATATATATATATATATAATAGTTTTTGTCTTCATGTTCATATTGCTATTCGTAAAGGTTTCACATTTAGAAAACATTTGTTTTTTTCATCTCGTCTGAACCGTATACACCCACAATTTCAGCTACGAATCGAACACAAAATCTATTTATATTTATGAATTATTTATGGTTGCAAACATTAATTCATGTTTATCAGTATTTATTATCATCAATATTGTTTAAGTCATTATCGCTTTAATTCGTACCCTGACCCTGAAGGAACTGTGAATCCTCTTATTTTCATCCAGTAGACTACTAGAGCTTATATATCAGACTGAACACTTTCATTATCTGTATGAGATAAATATTATTTAATGAATCCTTTTTATAGAAACTGCAAAATCTGTTATGAAAAATATAACTTTTCTCTCTTCATTATACGTGCAGTATTAAGTTTCAGTTTAATATGTCGTTGTTTTTCCGGTTTCTACTATTTGCGTTAGAGTTGTAGGCATTGTAGCATTAGCTCTTAGACTTGTGTAGAATATAAGAATACAATTAGAGCTATGTAAACTGTCATCTAAAAAATCATTTATAAATGCTTTCAAAACTATTTACAAACTGATTCACTAAAAAATAACTCCCAAAATATCATGTTTTCTTTTTCTCACACCTTTCTCACATAAATATAGGTTATAAACAGGCAAATCGTTTGCTTAGCGGCGAAAAAGATGTTGACAAAAAGAAACCTACTGAAAATCCGGCAAATCCATCGAATGCTAAAAACGTACCACGAAAGAATACTGGTGGTAAAGTGAATACTCCAGGTCATTTCCGTGCATTACCACGTAAGCTATAGAGAATTATTTTAGTTCAGTATAAGGTTGTTGAGTTTCATTGAGATCAGGAACCGACCAATATTAGACCACCATGAGAATCCGGAAGCACTGGACGATGGTTTCGTTCTAGTATGGGACTCAGCAGTGCGCATCTATCGTCTCGCATGTGATAATCGAACCCAGGACTTTCGACATCGCGCGCAAACGCTTAGCCTCTCGACCATTCAGTTGAAAACCGACGGTGCTAATGTCTAACTTCAACCAATTCACGATATTGCACGACCACGTTTCATTTTCTTTAATGGCCTCACATCCGTCACGGTTGAACTCCACTAGTCACGGCTTTTCATCGAAATTCGAGGAATTATCTCTAAGCTAGTCAATAGTGACGATATGATAATTATCAGTATAAGGTTGTGGAGCTCGTTAAGTTATTCCAGGTTTTCACTGATCGGTTCATAATTTCAGTGAAATTATTTGATCATTATATGAGCTTTGTGTACACCTAAATCGAATCGCAACTCATTTTTCATCGCTACACCACATGGACAGGAATTATGGGTTTAGAAAATTACTTACAAATGGTCGAAATATTTCATATTGTGCGTCGTGTTTAAAAGTTAGCCTAAAGAAATCCTGTTGCACGTACATTTCTAATCGATTTTAGCTGAGCCTTTCGAATTATTAGCGTTTGAGTTTTCTGTGTCCTACTTTAACCCAATATTCTTGTACATTAAAACCAGTATATCAACCAGCAATATTTCACGCAGAAATCGTGTTACGTTTAAATGAATTAATAACATGTAACACTTGTTCTCTGATAAAATTTCTATAACAAAAACGATTACCTGATCATTGCATTCCTAGGTTGTATTTCAGTAGTTAATATTAAGGTGTCATTGTATGAATGGTTTTCAGTGTTATCAAAAGACATCTTTCACAGCTCGATTAATATAACGGAACTACTGATCGCATGTTAGATTTGATAGAAAATTTTTCAGAGGCCAATCAAAGTTACATAGAGCTTAAGTTCAAGTACTGGCTATTTTAACATGAAGTGTGTGTGTTACTAACAATTTATATACTGTATAGCTCTCATGATGATGAAATTAGGAATTACAACATATCAACTATATGTAGCTTAGCTGTTGCATCATAATGTGCCTAATCTCTATGACAGAAAAAGACAACCATTACTTTATGTATATTCACAAGTTTTAATCCCGTTCGGTTTAGGCAATGGTATTGTCTCAATAGCTTCCACATAAATTGTGTATCAAAGTCTATTACGTAAACCCTTTGCTTGGCAAATGAGTTACGTTATTATTTATTGTAGTATATTGATTCAAAAGTTTTTAGAATAATTTTTTATTTATTTGGCTTCATTAGCAACTAATGGAATAAGTGTACATGATCATCGTACCAAAAATTTATGGCTTGGAGTAATTCACCTTCTTCAAGAGCGTGATCTTATGCCAACTATAGCATTTGCCTTTTCTCGATCATCATTGGAAACTCTGGCTGGTCATTTATCTTCAGTGGACTTGTTAAATTCAAGTAATCAGTTTTTGACTTTAATGCCAATTATATTATTGTTGATGTTTCTTCTAAATATATTCATCTATCCGTTAAGTGCCCTTTATTGAAAAGGTCGTTTAATTGGCCATAGAGCTCATCCTTGAATGTATCCACGTTATAATCTGTCGGGTCGTAGGCAGAGATTACGAAAAGACATTATTAGCCACATTAGTTTTTTCTCAGTTTCATCCATCCTACTAAATTAACAATACATAAGTAACCACCAACGGGAATCCGATCGATAAATCCTAGCCTAGCTCTGATAACAGACGCCAATACTACAAAGTTCCTGATAAAGTTCACATGGTACAGAAATATAGAATCGACAGATATAGATAGTATAGGTTGTACTTCGACGAAACCATTAATACACGTTTCGGATATACATCATTTATCAATATCACAAATTTTCGTGGACTAAACCTATAAATTTTTTGATTTGGATCAAACTTGGAGCGTTGAAGGAGGCATGCTTAAATAGGATATGTAGCTTTAGAAAATCTGATAGATCTCATATTTATTAATAACATCCTTGAAATTAACTTTCCAGCAACTTTAGACCGTTTAGACTAAGATTCAATAAAGACGACGTGCTTAGTAAATTGAAGAATGAAAGTACACACAGAATGTTAGTAAAATAAAATAAAACTTCATCCGATTTAAAATAAATTCACCTCAAGTAAAACGATTTCAAATATTGTTATTATGGAAGTAAGGCGAAATGCGCAGTACATTTTCGTCCCAATTATTCATCATCGTACGTGTGTGAAGTAGCATGCTGCCCTGACACCCAAACCCAAAGATCACTCCCTGAGCTTTTGACTTAAAATTTCTATCTACCTCAGTGAAACAATGTCAGGAGATATTGTCTCTTGGTAACCGGCAAGCTGAATTGTTATGTACGATTTTCGTTCCTTCATTTTCCTGCAGTTCATGTGCACTACTGATCAATATTGTAATTATTTTAAACTAGATAACGTGTTTCTTCTTTGTGATTATAATATAATATGCTTCAATACGAAGATGAGTTTGCCTTTATGGTTTCTTTCACATCTAAAAACAGGTGAAAAACAACAAGTTAAAAATTTTCTACATTGTTCTGTCACTAAACGATTAAAAAGATGTGATCGTCAACTTGCTTCAGTTCAGTTTATTAGTAAATTAGCTGTTAGAGGATTAGCTGTTCATCATGCTGGAATGTTGCCTATTTTGAAAGAGGTGAGAGTTATCTTTTATAATTTTGTGAAATTTCTTAAAAGCTATTTGTCAACCGATATTTTCTGCACGTTAACTTTTAAAAACCAAAAGTGGGACACTAATTGTATTTACGGGCCTTCAAATTACCGTCCTTATACTCAAACGTCTACAATACATGACATCTAGCTGAACCTGTATTTTCATTTCGCCTCAACCATAGCAGAATATAACTTGTTCTGAGAATCCATCATTATCAGTCTGTGGCTATTGGCTGTTTACTTGTTTACTACTATCAGATATTATATACATACCTCGGTTCTTGTTGGATCTACTTTAGTAGACTTCACTTCATGAACCTTGTTTGCCAATTACAGGCGTCTATGTATTGTGTTTTATTTGGATAATCCCTTCAAACTGATCTGAATTTTTGATCAGATCAGTTAATAATAAAAGACGCTCGCTCGCATGATAGCCATCAGGAAGCCAATTTGACTAAAATAGTCTCTACACTCCCATAGTTCATGATTATTTGATGCATTAATGGTAGCTAGACAACAGTAGACTGTAATAACCAGTATGATTTCAGGTCTAAGCACGGGGTGTATCCATCAGATTGCCGTCTTTGTTATCGTCTTGAGACTGAAAAATTTTACAGCTTCAAACATCATCTATATTCATTGACTTATAAGTCGGCACTGGACTCAGTTTATATGGTGGTTGATGGTATTATTTACTTATTCTATACGATCTTATTTGTAAATATAAAGTTGTTGCATCAATAATAAAGCTATTGAAAGTCACGTAATAAACAGATAATGAGATGGACTAGGAAGAAAATAGTTTTTAGACGAATAGGTGTGAAGGATAATTGTATTTATGATGAACGAATAATCAACTGATAGTTTTGTGGATCTCTTCAGGTCTCGCATGCGGGATTCGGGCCCGGGACCTTCGATCGTTAGTGCACACTGCTGAATATTCCTATGCTAAAACGAAACTGCCCCCCAGTGCTTCCAGGTTTCATGGTGGTCTAACATTGGTCGCTTCCTGATCCCAATGAACTTCATACGTTGAGATAATTGATTTGTTTTAGCCCGTGATTTTAACAAATGACTTCTTATAGTTTCCTTTGTTAACTAAGGCGATATAACTCAGGATCGGTTTTTTGTCGTGTAGATTCATTCGCTGTCAGTCTTCCTTTAAATCATAAGCTTTAAAGTTATCCTGTACTTTTTATTATGTGAATTTATTCTTTTTTGGCGAATCATATTGTCTAGACGTAATCTGTTTTGCTACAATTGATTCTGTTACTATTTCTACTATTGCTTTGCCATTTGTCTTAAGATGTGGTGTGGTATATGACGCGATTCATTAATGTTCCAAGCTCTACGTTGTTTGTGACTGACTGTTAATGCCATGATTCAGGAGATTACGAGATCACTTAGAAATCGGCGAACGGAACAAAGATCAGCAACACAGCGACAAGAGAAGCTATACTATTCACTGCTCCCCATATTCAGTCGAGGGGAAAGTATGTTCTACAAGCAGTAGAAAGCACTAGTGAACAAGCACACAAATCAAGCGTATATATACAGCATAAAAATGTCCCTGATAAACCTCGCAAAATAGCGTATTAAAAGTGGAAATGAACCCATAAGGGAAATACAAAGTAAAGGTAAAAATAAAAATAGACGCTTTTGGAGCGAAAATGAGAAATTCGAATTTTCAAAGGTGAAATTACAAAAATAAGACGTTTACCAGGTGATTTCTAGGGGCCTATCATCCCCAACAGTTAATTTGTACATTCACTTTTCATTTGACCGTTTTGTATTTTTATTCATAAAAGCGTGTTCTGTTTTGTTATTTTACACAATATTAGACAGTGGAGATGTTATTTCGACGTGGCTTAATCAGAATCTTATTTGCTACTGAAACATTTGCGATGGGTGTAAATATGCCGGCTCGTTGTGTAATCTTTACTACATTAGAGAAGTTTGATGGTCAAAAACGTCGTCCTTTAAATTCAAGTCAGTGTTTATTTTATTTTATTTCTAGTTTATTTTCTTTTTCACGTTCTTAACCTTTAATATTGATAGAGGAAAGCTTTTATCTGATAATTCAGTAACTTGGCGATTAAATAGTGCTGGACTAGTTCAATCATTTCATGTCACGTTTTTATTTCATACCACCCTAATGTGATTTAAGCAACCTTACTCTATAAAGAAGTTTCACTTCTGTACTTTTACGTCCACTGGAATAACTCACTGGAGATCAGTGAAGATTAAACGACTCTCTTGGCTTCTCCAAATATTTATTATATGAGTATGTATCTGAAAAATAAGTGATTGTTCACTAAATAATGATTAACTTGCGTTTAAAAGTGCTCATATTCATAAACTCAACAATAACAGTAACTAAGCGGACAAACGCGAAAAGGATCATTTCAATATGTTCGAACAGATGAGAATTGTCTTACCCAGGATTAGAATAATTATGTGCATTTCTAAGGAGTCCTATACTAGGAAGAAGCGGCTGTCTAGTGCCTCCAGCTTTTCAGTGGTGGTTCAGCTGAGATGGGCTCAGTGATTCAACTGTGAAAAATTACTACAATCTCCATTCTGACAACGTACAATTAACAACTGATGAAGTATAAGCAGGCGATTACTAGATAAAAAACTATTTACTCATGAGTAACACACTTATAACATACAAATCTCACATATGTGTTACACATTGTATTACTCTACATTATTATTAAGTTAATGATATTTAGTTTTATATTTATTGAACAAGACCATTATTTTTTTAATTGTTGATACAGTTTATCTGTTGAGAATGAAAGAAGATCGAGTTTTTTTGGTGAATTCACCATTTAATCATTTGTACAATTTGTAACTGGTTTTTTTTAAAGAAGATTAGTTGAAATGTGTACATTTGCTTGTTTTATGCTTATTATGAACATTATCATGAAGATTTCTATGGTGTAACTTCAAGTAAATTTCATTTTTTAGGGAAAGCTTTCTGAATTATTATTGTCCACTACTTTTGTTAGTTACTATAGTTAGTTATGGATATCTTGCCAAATTATTGCCAGATTATATATAAGGCAGTGTTGTTATGTAATCCTTATTGATCACCAAAATATTCTTTAAATTCACAGTTGTACATCAACCTCTAGTGTACTGAAGACTAAGGTGAATACATTCTCGACTTGTAGAATTCAATGAACACTTATTAAAGTACAATTCGTTGTTGCCCAATTTATGTGGAGAAATTCATTATAGTTGATTGATAAGGTATTTTATAATAAATGGATTTTGACTGACAGTCAGTCAGCTACAACGTAGGACCAGGCACATATGTGCATCGGTCCAAGTTGCCATACCTCATTAACACAACAAGATGGACACCGGATTCATATAAGTGGTTAATTCAGAGGTGGTAATATATCGGAGAAAGATTGCATATAAGAATATAGTATAGGAAGAAAGAATTAATTAGCAGAAAGAAAGATATGAAGCGATTTTAATCTCTTAGTTTAAGAGAAGACAGAGGGTGTATACACCGACGCCATTGTGACCGACTCGGAGCCATGTCACCAAGAGTCTCCAACCATTGGTTACGATAGTCACGCGGACCCCAACCAAGTAGTCTGCATCTACCAACATGGCTCAGACTAGAAGTTAGTGACTTCAAGCACTGATACCAGGTTTTGGTTTGGCCGCCCCTAACCTTCTTCCAACCATCTCCAACACCGGTTAGCATTGCACGTCGTGGTAATCGGTTTTCAGGCATACGTAATACGTGGCCCAACCATCTCAGTCGATGAAGATTGACAACCTCATCAACTGATTTACCATCATTCCCAAATACCCTGCGTCTAACCTCACTATTACTTACCCCTCGGTGATCCCAGCAGATGCGAGCAATATTTCTAAGACATCTTTGGTCAAATACTAGTAGCTTACGAGTATCTTCTACTCTTAAATGCCATGGCTGATTTACCATCATTTTGACTGACAGTAAAATCCAGGATGCCTTTTTCATTTTAGAAATCGCAACATAGTTATATCAAGATAATCTGTACAGAATGGACATGTACCAACAAAACCTGATCAAAACCTCAGTCTTATTTGTCAACAACGGAATAATTCCAACCCTCACTAATAATAGCATAAACATCGTAATCATTTAGAAATTGGTGGCTATATGGATTTAGTAGTTCAGTGGATAATGGGCTATTATTTGAAGAAAGGTGTGGTGTTCGAGTCCCAATGTAACCATCAATATTTGGATGCAGATATATCTGTCTGACGAGTTTTAAGTAAGACAGTTAGTGCATCCTAGATTCCATTACTAGCCACAATTCTTTCATTTCTAAATAATCCTAACAAAATGGCTATATCGAAGCAATCCATACAATATATATGCATGCCAACAAGGATTGATCAGAAATTCTGTTGTGTATGCCAATAGTGTAATAATTCAAGCTTTTACTAATAGTGATATATTGTTAGATAGTTTATGTTTATAAATGCAATCACTGTAAACTTTTTTTCTATCTTTTTATTTCCTCGTTTAAAAAATGTTTCATACTTACAGGTGAGTATACACAAATGGCTGGGCGTGCAGGTCGTCGTGGTTTAGATGCTTCCGGTTCTGTAATTATTCTACTTGGTGGAATCGGTAAATCACTTACACCAGGTAGTTCGGGTTTACCATCTGAGCATACACTGTGTGATATTATTCTTGGAAGACAAACTCAATTAGTTTCGAAATTTAAAATCACCTACTCTATGATATTACATTTACATCGAACTAATTGGTTAACTCCACAGGTAGTTTCGTTATTGATAATAAGTGGATACATTAATTTTATGTGTATTTTATTTTTCATATTATTTTGTCGTTTTACAAAGAATGATGATCTATTCAGCTGAAATCCAATGTGTAGAATTGTGTAATAATTTTCGTTTGTTTTCCTTTGTTTACGTGTATGTGGTACATATTCGTTTGCCTCTTTTGCAACGAAATTAATATTAAGAATTTGATTTTAATCCCTGTACTCGTTTACAATTACCCTTTATATATATATTTATGCATAAACGAAGGATGTAATGCGACGAAGTTTCATGGAAGCAGCCAATCTTAGACGTGAACTTGACCGTAAGCAATGGTTGTCAGCTTTACGCAAAAAACTCGATGAAACAACTACTCTTATACCACCTGCTGGATTATTATCAAATATACCTCATCAAATTGCTCGTAGTTCGAATAGTAAAGTTACAGTATCTATGAATAATATTTCTCGTTTATCTGTACCAATCGGTGAACCTATTTTACAAGTGAAATGCCCTTTTGGTCAAATAAGTTGTTGTGATGCAATGACTACTTATTATCAGGTTAGTTTGTTTTATATATATATATATATATTGTTTATTATAATATTGGTGTTGTAAACTTCCAACAAATAATTATCTTCATTGTGTTAAAGTTTCACAGAAGACATTTTATTCCTAGACGACCAAATCGCGTAAAAGCCATATGGGTTGGTCCTTTTACTACCTCCCAATTTTCTTTGTTATCAGACATCCAGATTGTATAGGAGAATTAAAAAAAAACTTTTATAGAGTAAATTACGTTGGGTTGTTTGGATTATTTTTTTTGGTAAGCGTTTTTTTAGCGAGTTAGTTTTCTACGGGATGGGGAAGCTAACCCCATGCCCAACCCTCCTCCTTTACCCGGGCTTGGGACCGGCAGTAACCCTATAAGACCTACAGTAGGTCTCAGCATACACAAGGGGAAAACCAAGGTCCTCAAATTCAAAACGGAGAACAGCAATCCAATCACTCTTGATGGCGAAACTCTGGAAGATGTAGAGTCCTTCACATACCTAGGAAGCATCATCGATGAACAAGGAGGTTCAGATGCAGACGTAAAGGCGAGGATCGGCAAAGCCAGGGTCGCATTCCTACAATTGAAGAACATATGGAACTCAAAACAACTTTCAACCAATATCAAAGTGAGAATCTTCAATACGAACGTCAAGGCAGTTCTACTGTGTGGAGCTGAAACTTGGAGAACTACAACAACCACAATCAAGAAAGTACAAGTATTTATAAATAGCTGTCTACGCAAGATACTCAACATCCATTGGCCGGATACCATCAGCAATAGCCTTCTGTGGGAGAGAACAAACCAACTTCCAGCTGAAGAGGAAATTAGGAAAAGACCATGGAAATGGATAGGACATACATTACGCAAATCGTCAAACTGCATCACGAGGCAAGCCCTAACTTGGAATCCTGAACGGAAGCGAAAAAGAGGAAGGCCAAAGAACACATTGCGTGGGATTATAGAAGCAGATATGAAAACGATGAATTACAACTGGACGGAGCTAGAAAGGATTGCCCAGGACAGGGTTGGATGGAGAATGCTGGTAAGCGGCCTATGCTCCTTCACGAGGAGTAACAGGCGTAAGTAAGTAAGTAAGTACATTGGGTTGTGTTAAAGAGCTTGTATGAGTGAATAGTTTATTTCATAATCCATGAAATAAGTGGGTCCTGAAAGAGATCAACAGATTGCATGTTTAGCATGTTGCAAAATCAAACATATGTCATTTGTGTTCTGGTAACATTGATAATTTCAACATTGTATACATGTATATATGCATATAAGTGAACTAATTTACAATTAGATTTTATCTTTATTTTAGGATAAAATATCTTTGTTATATGTTTAATAAGAAACTATTTAATTTAAACGTTTCACTTCTCTTAATCCACAAGGATTAATCCTGCTTTATAAAATCTAAAAGAAACTATATCAAAAGTGTTCAATTTTTGAAGTGAAAATTTTCATTAAAACGACTTTATAATCGTTTTTAATCTTAATATTTAGTTTTTAGGTGCGAGGATAATCATCCGTTTTTCAATATTCAATAAAGGTCTAATATCTAGCATTTTTCCGTTCATTTATTAGGTCAGTGCAACATATTACGAGTGCCATTTTCACGAGGGATTTCATTTCAATCATATTAAATTATTCTCATATGGCTTCTATGAACACACCCTGTAGTTCACACACATTTATAATTAAGAGGCAGATACACTAAAAAAACCATAGATACGTATTCTATGGTAATTACCTTTTATTGTTAATATGGAGACTGGGCATTATCACCTATTATTGTTAACTGGTCAGAAAATGAACGATAAACAGATTTGCGTATTTCGGATTTCCTTCTTTGTTTGATGCTTGTAGATTACTATTTGTCAAATTTCAACTTTACACACCTATATACTGCTGGTACTGTTTTGTTTTGGATTCATATCGTTACCCAGTTGATCTCGAGTGCTCTTAGAGATATGGGGACGGTTTTCACTTCCCGGCTCTCCAAACCATAGAAGGATATTCCTTCTCGAGGGACTTGAAAAGGAAACTGAGTTAAGTTACCCGGGAGCGTAATTACAGAGCACGAGGTGGAACTGATTAAAGCCGGTAACACTGATTTTTTATAAGTTAGATGAGTACTTAGCAAATTTTACCACCGGAGACGAAAATCCATAGGGTAAGGTAAGGTGTGACTTTTTCCCTCCTTTGTGGACAGTCAGTAGTTGCTAGTTGTTTGTGGTGAACAGCTTACTGACATCATCCGTCTCTAAAAACACTAGTATGACTTGACTTTCGAACATTGAGTTGCTGCTTTTAATCTTACCGTTCCTCAACCGACCTCGGCATGGTAAGACCTAAAGGTACATATATTCCGGCGACTGTAGCTTGATTGAGTCATCATCAAACTCAACCATCTCATCAAGGAAGATGTTATGGTCGGAGTTGTCGATGGTTGTTAGAAATTAATCACAATGTAAAGTAACCAATTTCATATTATCTATGGTTCGCTGCTTTTCAATATGTTTCTGAAGTTATGCTTTGTTAGTCCAAGTATTTTCTTTAATGTACCAAAAAAGTGACATATTTCAAGTTTATTTTGTTTTATGCACGCATGTACTTGTACGTGTTTTTGTAATTGTCATCACTACATTTTCCTTTATTGTATATTTAGTGGTTTGTAGAGATTAAGTTTCATAATTGTACTATGACAGGGTGATGGATGTGAATGCTGAAAGTATCCTCACTTAAATGTGTTATGCCTTCTTTTCTTATTATTATTATATTCGCTCAGATTAAATAGGTACATAAGTTGTCATCAGTTTGCACATTTTTGAAATATTTTTACTGTATTTTCTTTTTGTAAAGATTTAAATCCGGTACGAACTTCTTTGGGGAAATAAAAGTCAAAATTTACTTGATGATGATTATTATTTCCCTGAAGAATCTCGGAGTCGATCGGCTAGTTGTGTATCATTGAAACTAATGAAATTTCAATCACTGAAAGTTTCGCAAATATAATTTCACATTTAATGTGTTTGTGTATTTATGTATGTGAAATAATTAGTTATATTTTCTCTTTGATCATCAGATTTTTACAAATGTTATTCTTTTGTTTATCTTCATCTTTTTTGCAAATAAATTAGGCCTGTTGTAATTATCAAAAGCTTACATCATCCATTGTCCGTTTACTTTCTGAAGAAAATCTAACTGATCTACAAAGAGTCTTTTGTCCAGGTCGTATAGTATTTATTAATTTGCCACAAACTGATAATTCATCATTGTATAATAAAGTAACAATAAAACAACCCGATTGGTTAGTACCAGGTGTTTTGGTTAATTTAACAAAGAAAAAAATCAAGAACGAAAGTGAAATACAAGTGAGTTGTACCGATTTATTTTAGATCATATGTAAAAGACAAAATGAATTTTTCCACTTTCATCAGTTAATCATACGCAACGAAGAACCTGGCATGTGTACATTGGTTCAAGTTGCTTAGTCCTCACATTAAATTGTTAACGTGAATTCAAGAATAGTAGGGTTAGTAAGTGTTATATTGGTAATACAAAAGACTAGCTATAAAAGATAGGATTCAAGAAAATATGAATTAGTGTAACAGAAAAAAATTATGAGGGATCTTCTAACACTCACTATTTGTCCACTGGTGCTAATTAGTTGAAAATCAATCAGTCACTCAATTTATTCCGATAGATCCTAATCAGAAATTGTAATAGTCTGGACTCTATCCTCTTGACAATATTAATTTAATCATCTAAAATACTTTGTTTTCCTTTTTAAATGCCAACAGATCATTGTTTGATTGGTTTTGCGCACTTGATTCTAATATTTTTTGTTCCTTTCTTGTAGTGCGATATTATCACTTGGGAATTGTCTAATTTACTAAATCATTCTAGATCATTTAAAAAGTGTAATCATCAATCGATAAATCAGACCGTTTCAGTGAATGATGTAAATGATAAAAAACAAGAAAATATTAACAATAACACTACTCAATTCAATGAATTTGATGAAGAGGATATTTTGAAAGAAGGTGAAGATGCTCAACTGTCTAATACACCATATCCTCCACAATTAATGCCTGTTTATACACCTGAGGTAAGTATATATATATATATGTATATATATACCCTGAACGCATGGTCATCAGCGAGTTGCCCTCCTCTGACTTGGTCGACCATACACATAACGATTACTCACAAGAACTTTGAAAACGTCTTTCTAAGTTTATTGTGACAATTCTCTTACTTACGTACCTTACTACCACAAAACACATGCTCAAGATGCACAGTTCTTTATAGGAACACCTAATTAGGTAATAAATCACATCGCTCATTAGTTTGTACATAGTACTAACCAATAATTTACAGTTGCTTGGCCACTGAGTGGTGACCAGTATTATATATGTCAAGCCCTTTTTAATGCTGATTATATTCTATTGCCCAATTTGCAATATGGCCATTAATTCAAATGAAGCTGGGTGACACGTGGTCGATTCCGACAGAAAGCATCAATTCCCTCAAAATTACTGGTACACTATGCTAACGCGTGTCAGGTGGCACGAAACCTATGTTCAGGGTATCCTGTTGACTACTTCTGACTACTACCTTGCTTACTATCCAATAATCTTTGTTCCATAAATCGACAAGTAAAATTCCTCATGTTTTCATAATTCCACATGAAATGAACTTCACAGAAGTTGAGCACATTTGAAAAAATGTATCCATCAAACATTTATCTTTCAATTGACTGTCATACAGAGTTCATTATCACTAGTTCTATTGTATGCATATTTATCACTATGAATTTTTTTTTCTAAATTATGGTATTTTTGTAAGACGTTTTTATATTTATTCACAAATGCTTTGCAACGGCTGATCAAAAACTTCTAATTAACAATTAACACTCGGAAATTATGTGACATTAGTAAATAATAATTGTTTAATTATACCCACCATATTTCGCTCGTATATGAAGGAAATGGGAAGTCGAGGGTCAAATGGTGATATTTGAGATGACGCGAAACGGTTCATATTTAGTTGTATTGAAGCAATTCAGTACTTATTATTTCCATTGTAACGTGAAAGTAAGCTTAAATGTTTATAATAAATGATCATGCAAACGTGACAATAAATAAAATACTGATTGATATTTGATATAATTAGACGCAATTCCTCTTCGCACACATAAATGAACTGATATCAAAAAATGACCATTAGAATAGTGCCTTTTTATTTCTGGTACAATAGTATACTTTTGTACAAAATATCTTCAGCAAATATTGTCCTTAAAAATAATACATTTAACACAAGCCAGCTGTCATCGAGAGAATAACCTTTGGATTTTTGCTTTAAATTCAAAATTGAATGACATTTCAGTAAAGTTATATTATAGGAATGGGTGGATTAGAATTAAGGATGTGATTTTTGAGGTTTTGCACCATATTTAATTATCATATGTTGTTAAATTTGTTGCCATTTTCTGTCTATTCTCTTCTCATTCAGCCCATCTTTTGTGCATTGCTTTACATTACTTGTTTATATTCAGTAAAGTTTTTTTCCAATAATTTCTGAACGTGACTCACATTTATCAGTTTAATATTCGAAAATATTTGCATAAGCTAATAACGTTCACTGTATTTATTATTATAATTACTTTCTATCAACCCTTGTAACAGTGATTTACAGTTTTGCACATTTCATAAGCCTTTGTTTAAACTCATCAGTTTCCATATTTGCGTGCTCTTAGACCACACTTTGATTGTTGATAAAGTGTTATGAACATTAGACACAGATACTTTAGTGAACGAGAACACCTGCGGGGATAACCAAGTGTACTTTAATACAACATTACAGAATATATTGGTAAAAATCTGAGAACCGTACAGTAAATACTTCATTTGCAAGATATCCATCAGTTGTCTCAGATTTTGTTGTTCCTTCGTTCCCATACCAATCACTCTCTGTTCTTGTTCTCTTCGGTTTTCTCAACCTTCTGTCTTCAGGCATTTCACTTTCTTTTGGTGCTACATACTATTTATATCTGTCGACACCAGTAGCACACACCACAATATCAACTGTCATTTACGCTATTGCAGTCATTCTTACGGAAGTTTTTTCAGACGTACAGACGCATTAATCGCCACAGATACATCAAGAGTTAATGTTTGTAATCGGTTTATGTCGACTCAATAACAAATGAAGCGTTCTTTAAATAAATTATTGCTTTTGAACTTCTATTTAGTCATTAAACGATAATAAGATGTTCTTTTTCTATTTTTAACTATTCATCAAATACCATTAAAATTAAGATTTAGCTAATTCTATACCTGTATTTTATCGTATATCAGTTTAGTGCAATTGTTACTTTCATTTCTAAGTTCAACAGTTCTGATACGTACAATTTAGCGAACTGGATTATGAAATTATGCTTATTATCATACATAATTAAATATTCTGTTATTTAATTAAATTTGTTATTTTGGAATTCTTTCTCAGGTAAAATTCATAAAATGTATTGTCTTTTCATGATTCTACGTTTATTTTTCATTATAAATTCCACTAGTCAATGGAAGATGGTTATGCTCGTTTAACGTTATTATCCAATTTGTCTATTCGATCATTTGTACGAATTACTGATCATGTTTTTACTGTAAAACAATATTGTAATAATACTGTAAATAATGCAAATATAACGCCATCAGAATTATTACTTCGTGGCATTAAACGTCATCGTCAGCAAATAGCAGCTAAACAAGCTGGTATGCATTTAGTGATTGGTTCGAACTCAACTGCAAGTGATTGTGATCCCTAGTTCTTATGGATGAATTAAATGCGAATTTATTTAATCTTGTAATTTCATTGATGCCAGAATCTTCTATGTCTCCGATGTTTGGTCTACCAGTTAACTGCCCTACTAAAGTTGACTTAAGAACATCATTGAAATTCAAAGGAATTTCAGAGGAGGTAATTATCATGTTGCACAGTACAATTCATATATATATATATATATATATATATAATATTCCAATTGTGAAAATTAGAACAACACATATAAGCGAACAATTGTTTTCAATTAGATCGTCATCAGGCTTTACTCTAATATCCATGAATATTTATACGAAAATGTTAAACCAATCAAGGCAATATGGGTCAATGATCACAATGAAATAGAATAAGTCACCACACATGATAAGTAAAAATACTGATAGTAGTAAGAATAATAAAATACGATAACAAAAGTTATATCAATAGTTAAACATTGATGATTAAAAAAGACATGGCCGTTATCCTGTTTTTCATTTTGTCACAAGTTTGGGAATTTTTCTTTTCCTAGAGAGCGGTGGCTTTATGGTTAAGTCCCAGGTTCAATTCCCGCTGCACTTAATTGGGTTTAGACATGCGGGTAGTATACCAAGGAACATGGTGAATAAGTCCATTTGATCTAAACATTTTTTTACTATTATATAAACCACGTTTATCCTTTTCCTATTGTTTCCATATATTTGTTTATATAAAATATTTGCACTGCGGTTTTCCAGTAGTTACTCAAGTACAGTTTTTATAATTGATTAGTCATCACATTTATTATTGTTAAGCTGGAGTAATGACACTTTTTTTCACTAGCGAATTCATCTTCCAGCCACTAGTTTCCATGTTTGAGTCCTGCCATATTTGCTTCAGTTTCAGCAACGGGGCTGTTTGCCTAGCACATAAAAGATTTGGCTCAATGTTTGGGTGCATAAACCTGTTAGTGAGTTACATCATCATTGTCAAGCTGGATTTTGAGTTCATAGTCTACCAATCTGTTGAAATATGAGTCCTTTAATCTCATATCGCTTAGAGAGTACTTCTTCAAACCTTCATAATACAACTGTCACTATCTATAAATAATTTATTTGTGATCATTTAAATTTTTAGGATGCTTGTGTGTTTGATGAACACGCTTTACTCAGTGATGAACTAACAACACCACTTCTGACATCGGTTATTACTCAGCGTTTGGCTCCAATTAGTTGTCCTGATCTTGTAGCACATTTGGAACTGATTCATCGTACCTGCCGTCGAAGATGGGCTGTAAAACGAATTGAAGATAGTTTATCTAATTCGCAGTTACAATTAAATACGGAGTATGTGAAACGTTTGTGTGTTCTTGAAGAATTGGGTTTTATCGATTCAGCAACACATACTGGTTGTTTGAGTTTAAAAGGTTAGACATTTTTATTATTTTTATCATGTACTGTATTTTAAATTGTAAGGAAAAAACTCTTTTGAGTGGTATGAAATTATATACATTATCGCTTCGCAAAAAATTTGCACATTAATCGATCGTAAAAAAAAGGTTGATTAGATGAACAGTCACTTAACGACTTAAATACTTAGTTTTCAATCAGTACGTCGTTACAGGTTCAGATCTTGTTTTATCTAATGCATTTTGAGCAGTTGAACAATATCTTTAGTCCTCCTTCAAATGGTATAGTTCAAATTCAAATGACATAAACCTGTATTTGATAGGTGAGTCACATCATAATGAAGATTTCAATAATAAAGTATCTTAGCGACTGACTATCAATATCACTAATTCACTAAATCAGTATGAATAATGTTTAATCATTCATTTTATTTGATGTTAGATTTAAAATATCATCTAATTGGAAACGTATTATTAAATTAAATGTTTATCGATAGATTGTTACTTTATCCGTTATCATAAACTTATGTTGGGTTTTTTTCTTCTCGACTTCTTGTAACACACTGTACGGGAAATAAGAGAAATTACCATAAATCATTGTCATACAAAAGAATGACAATGAAAAGTTGTTTGATATCAAGCTGTTTTATATGTTGTTGTTTTTTTTATACCGAATTTCGATTTTATTATCGATTCTATGAAACTTTTACCCTCTGTTTACATCATTTCACGAAAATCAATCAATTGTTTTATTATTGACCGTATTGATGATGCGATGGCGAAATATAGTGATTGTTTCAGATTTTTATTCAATGCTGCTGTCATTCAGAAGACATTTAAAAGTAATTACTCGCAGAATACTGTATATTCTACGTTTCGTGGATTTTTTCAGATTGTTGTTCAACATATCCCAAGAGAATGTCACGTGCACTTGAGTAAATCAAGTCTTATTCCAATATTTTATCCAACTCTTCTAGTCAGTACTGTTTGTACTGTTCATATGACTTTGCTATACCTATATTTTTTCCATACTATTTCCATTCTGTCAAACCAACACTATTTAAACTTAGAAGTAGTCAACATGAAACTCTGCTTAACCTAGTTTTTGTGCTATGATGTATATTCGTTCCTGGATCTTTTGTTACTGCTTACGTGAAGCGTTCGACTGATATATTGCAATTGATAACCACATATCAGATCTGAAAAGTTGTTTATAAACCTTAATTTTTTCTCAGCCTCTAAATAACTGAATCTATTCGTCTTTTTACTTCTTTTTTGTTGCATTAATTCAGGTCGAATTGCTTGTGAATTGACAAAAATGGAAGTGTTAATTACTCAACTATTACTAAATGGTTCATTCACTGATTTATCGGCTCCTGATTTAGCAGCTGTTTTATCGTGTTTTGTATTTGAAACACGTTCCACTACTGATACAGAACAATTACAACAACACGATGGACAATATTTACACAGTCTACTTGGATCTCTAATGAATTTTACTAATGATGATTGTAATCAAAATCATCTGTCTAATAGTTGTTCAGATGTTACTTCTTATCCTTCAAATCTTATACCTGCATTACAAAAGATTGTACTATCTGCTATAGAGGTTTGTTCACTTTTGGTTTCCAGTTATTAGGCTACTTTGTTTTAAATGATTTATATCTGTTTTATAAATTATTATCTATGATAATTCATGGCAGTGATATAGTGTAGTTTTTTCTCAAAGTAGTATCCGGATGATATTTAAGTTAAACGTTTAGACCGTTAAATGTTCTCTCAGCGGTCTAGAGGTTAAGCGTTCGTGTGTGAAGCCGAAGATTTAATTCCCGTATGTTGGGTCGTGGATTCACACTGTTTGGATGAAAAAGCTGTCCAGCGTTTCCAGGTTTTCAGTGGTGGTTAGGATCAGTTTGAATCTTTAATTGTGAAAGATTATTGTTATTAGCTACAGGTGATATTATTGGATTGATTGTAATAGAATTATGCTTTGATGAACTGAAATTTAAACCAAAATACTATTTTTGGTGACTACGGACCATATAAGTTGGACTAAATGAAATAAACTCTGAAGTGTGAGTTAAATTAGCTAAACAGTCATTGAAATCCGGGAAATGACAACCCTGCAAGATAGTAAACCCTAAATATACAGACCTCCAGGTCAGTTTTCACCTTCAAATTGTTGATCTAATATTCAGTGATTCATATGTTTCCACGTTTACTTTCATTTCTGGATATTACGAATGTCATTGATAATACTCTCTCAGACAATATTAAATTAAAATGCTGAAAGCTGACTTGTTAAACCATAACATCAGCTTTAAGTTCTTCACTATTACAAGTACCTGTAATTAATGAACAAGTTTTATGCAATTATTCAGATTGTAGTATGCTGAAAAACTCTTTTGTACTAGTCACCATTAAGATGTACGTTATGTATACTGTTTATTCAGTTTTATTGTTCATAGCTCAACTTATCAGACTATTTCATAATATTCAATATATTTCTACACCCGTTCACGTTTACTACAATTTAATGTAATACTTGTGAAGTGATTGTTTATCAGTTAAAATAGCCAGCTTTTAACCTGCTTTGCTGATTTTTGTTTGATGAGCCATGTTATAGTGTCACTAGTCGTAACCTATCACAGAAACAAATAATAGCGTTTAAGTCAATTCAAGTAAATAGAAAGATGAGTTATATAAAACAAATTTATTTTGACTTCAGGAGATACTCCTGGAGTTCTAGTGAGAAGTCGTTACCAATGGAGTTCAACCAGATCCGTTGTGAGAAAGGAACTTACTGAAGACAATGGTGTACGGTGGCGCAACTTCGTGGATTGGTCGAAGTTAGACATTAACACCGTTGGATGCCGGCTCAGTGGTCTAATGGTTAAGTGCTCGCGCGTGAAACCAGTAGGTCCTGGGTGCGGGATCGTGGATGCGCACTGCTGAGGAGTCCCATAGCAAGACGAAACGGCCGTCCAGTGCTTCCAGGTTTCCCATGGTGGTCTAGCTTCAATTGACTCATGATTTCAACTTGTGAAATTTATTCTTATCATTGTTGTGCAATTTTATGTTATGTTTTTTATCCATATATATTTGAGTAGGGTTAGCTGATAAATTATTAAATTATTTTTTATATTCAAGGGCATTTCATCAGATATACTTCCATTAAATAAGTATATTTTAGGAAGAAACATAAATGTTACTGGTCCAAAATTCTATAAATGAAAAGTTTAAAGCTGTCTGCAGTCGTTCCACGTAGATACTTACTACTTACATCTGTTACCCCTCATGGGATCATAGGCCACCGACCAGGATTCTCCAAGCAAATCTGTTCCGAACTCTTCTTTCCAGCTGTTTTCAATTGATATTCATTCTTTTGATGTGTGCCTCCAACTTCCGACTGAATGTGTTCTCTGACCTCCCTCTTTAGATTTTACCTTCAGGATCCCAAGTTTGGGCCTGCTCCGTAACGCAGTTTGATGATTTCTATAGTGCATGTCCTACCCTCCTCCAGTGTGTTTTCCTGATTTCTTACTACTTTCACTGAAACTGATGTACGAGGATGTCTCCAGTCGCTTAATTCATCTCGATGTTTGGGACCTGATGGTATCCCAAACATCCTTTTTAAAAAATGTGCTGACGTTCTGTGTCATCCGTTCACAATTATATTTAACAGATCCTTCTCATCTAATCTCATACCGAAAGTGTGGAGAAAGATGAAGATAATTCCTGTACCCAAGAAAGCATTTGGTGATAAGAATGTAAAATTTAGACCTATTGCAATAACTTCACCCTTCCTCAAAACCATGGAAAAATTATTAATTCTTCCACTTCAGCCTGCGATAAAAGAGCATACTGACCCATACCAGTTTGCATACAGGCGCAAAAGAAGCACTTTAGATGCTGTTGCAGTTCTGCATCACAACATAGTGTTCAACTTAGAAAAGGGTAAGAAGTATGTTCGATGTACTTTTCTGGACTATACTTCAGCTTTTGACTCTATACCAAGACAACGATTACTTAACAAGTTAATCAGCATCAACACTGACAGCTGGATAACCAACTGGCTATGTTCCTACCTCTCTGGAAGGGAACAATACACTGTGTTTGGAGGAAAGAGTTCAGAGTCTCTACTGTCTCATGAAGGTGTACCACAAGGAGCTGTTCTTTCACCTCTTCTATTCTCTTTTTTTCTGCATGATCTGCCATCTTCCACAGAAAACACTTTTGTGAAGTATGCGGATGACCTCACTGTATGTATGCCTATATCTTCCTCTTTACATCCCATAGAAATGAATGAGTTTTTGTCTCGTATTGATTGTTGGTCTGTTGGTAATGGTCTCATACTTAATCCGTCTAAATGTCAAGCTGTTAACTTTAGCATGAGACATAAACGGAATATAAACACTATTTTGAGATCCCATAGTGCTTGTACCATCGGAGACTCTTTGATAAACTCAGTGTCGAAGGTCAATTATCTTGGTGTCACCTTTTCCTCTGATCTGTCTTGGTCTTCCCACGTTTTATCGTTATCGAAGAAGGTTTTCCGTCTGACCTATTACATAAAGAGATTGCATGCTCTTGGAATTACTCGTCATTTACTCTTACAATTTGTCAATTCTTGCATACTACCTATTATTCTTTACTGTTCTCCATTATTCTTTCCCGGGCTTTTGAGAAAAGACTTTGCTGTATTGCGAAGAGTGCTGAAGGCAGTTAGCAAGGTGTGTGGTGTATCTTTCGAGGTCATAATTAATATGGTTGTGGATAGACATTTAAAATCATGCAAACTCCTGGCAGGTGTCATTTTATCAGATACTAGCCATCCCCTTCACTCTTATCTTTCTCCTTGTATATCTTCTGGTAGAACGAGACGTAATTACATTAAAATCCATGCACGCAAGCAAAAGTACAAATGTTCTATAATACCTTATCTAGCAAATATACTCTGTGACGAACAGGTTGTTAGAGTTAACCTAGCCAATAACCTGCATTCTTAACATGACTTTAATTTCAAATGTTGTACTGTTTTTCAGATTTTTTTTTTAAACTTTATTTTTTTGTCTTTGTTACTATTTTTGTTTGCATAAGTAACTTGTTGAAATACCCTGTGCTGAGAATTCTATATTGTACCAAAATATAATATTGAATAAAGCCATTAATAATAATAATAATAATAATAATAATAATAATAATAATAATAATAATAATAAAAAACTGAAAGTTGGTTGCTAATGGTCTCCAGCCAACGGACGTTGAGTATCTTGTGTAGACAACTGTTTAGAAATACTTGTACTTTTTTATGATTGTTATAGTAGTTGTCCTATTTGTACGGAGCTGAAACTTGGAGAACAACACATTTAAATAGTATCAAATCTGATTTATTTTGTTTTTCTTCTTTTCCAGCTAGAGCAATTACAGATTAAATATGGTCTTACTGATCCATCTATAGACACAAGGATAACTCTACAGGCTGTAAATGCTGTTTTTGCTTGGGCTCAAGGTTATTCATTCTCATCATTGGTTAGTATGACTAGTGTTCCTGAAGGTCACTTGGTTCGTGGCTTATTACAACTCGATGAACTATTACATCATATATGCAATGCTTGTCATCATCTGGGTGATAAAAATTTAAGTTTACGAATGAAGGAGGCAAGAAGTTTAATATTGCGAGATCTTGTATGTGCTCCAAGTTTGTATACTGCAGATGATCTTGTGTGAATTATTTTATTTCTGCAGCAGTCTTATTTTGTTGATGATATATACGCATATACATACCTTTATGCTTTTTTATATTACTACTTATAGTTACACTTGCTATTTATTTCAACTGAAATACTTTTTATCGAGCATATTTATACTTTTAATATCAATGCATTTCAAGGTTATTTACGCAGCTAGTTTTTTTAATGTTGTTCTGTTCCCCTTTTTATATTATTACTGCTGAGTATTTTTCTGTTTCTACCTGGTTTAATTAACTGTATACAATCTTTTCTCCGCTCGTTTGTGTACAACTGTATGCCTATTTACGTATTTTTTTGTTATTTAGCTATTTTACTGACTTTCTCAAGAGGTTACTCTATTTGTTGTAATTTGATATAATGTTTGTATTGTTTCTTTTTGAGCATAGTCTGTTTGCTCTCCTTTAGTTTAGTCGTTATAATCTATTTAAAAGATAAACATTTTAACTTGCTCAATTAACGAATGATATAATGGCAGCAATTCAATAAACATTTTTACTGAACTGATTCATTTTCTATGATTTGATATACTTTGAAAAAAGAATTAATTTTCGGTGTTAAGCATAAATTTAGATTGCTTGTGTGCAGAGTTATTTTACAGTGAATATCAATAAATCTATACCAACACAAGGTTAGTGTGCCGAGAACTGAATTTGGCACAAGAATTGTTTGCTTGACAATTATTTGAAGTGTGCCATCTCAAACATAAGTGTTGCGTGGGCGGAAGTAAGTAGTGATTGATTGTTTTTTTTCCGACAGGCTAGTGGAAAGTCTGACAGATTTTTGATGTGTCGTACATATTTTCCTAGTTTGTACTTGCTTGATTATTGATTAATGCACGTACTAGTCAGGCGAATTAGGCGATCTTGATTTCAGTTGTGTTGAGGTTTGGTAGAATGGTTGCTGGTTAGATATCTAACTATAGAGTGAGTTGTATACATAGACAAATGAGGATTTGTATGGAGCGTTGGCGATCTTGGTTCAACCCACACTGTTCCGGATGATACAGTTAAGTAAGCACAACTAGCAAATCGCCGTGGGTCTCTGAACTTTCAAATAATGTTAAAGCAATCGAGCCAAGTTTACATTCTGAATCGCAGAGTATGAGATGGTTGCGATTTGCAAATTGATTTAAGATTCTTGAGTTTATTCTTTTACTGGCACTTCAAGACTCAATATACATCACAAATTAGCTAACTGTTGCATAAATCTGTCTACAAATTGTTAGGGATGCAGAGGAATATACCAATAATTATCGTGTTAAGTCTAATGATTTCCTTGGACGTTAAATGGACATTTCCATTGGTCGATATTCATTTCACCTGTCAAATATTGTACAAATGTTGTTTTCTATTTTATGGTACGATGTGGTCTGGTTGGTTGGTATATAAATAGAGTATGTCTGAAATATGATGATTCATATCTCAGAGGCTGTGACTTGTGTTCTGGACTCAACTGGCTGGACTAAACAGGGAAGCGGGACTCTAGGTCGTCCTTACGTGTCACTGGATCGGTCGATAAATACTCTGCGCATCTAACCTTCAGTCCACCCGTTACAACACAAATCTTCCCTTGAACTCATTCAGGAGGTTTGAAATATGGAGCGCTCTTGGTCGTAGCTAGAAATATCAGCCCTTAATATGAGAGCTACGTTAGACTTATCCGTTTGTTACTGTTCTTAAAATACGGATTCCATTATGTATATCACGAATATCTCTCGCCAAAACATTTTACGACTGTCTCTAATACCAGATGGGATTACCGTTTGTCTATCATTATCTGTATTTACGAATTCATTTGGCATATCGATATAGTCTTGTGGAAATAAACACCTCGTTGGATTGATTCGAATCAGTCACTATAAAAATGGAGTCTAGCAACTGAGGATTCGTCTTTTTTGTCGATTACATGATGGTATTATCAACTAAATCGTAAGTATAGTTGGTTTGTTAGAATGATGTAGATAGAAAACCAATGTTCCTGGTGTGCGTGTTAATGGAAATAAATTACTAGTTTATGTCAGTGAGTAGGATGTGTCTAGCCGTCTTAGTGACCGTAAATGAAGCTTTCAAGCGTTATTTAGAGGTCTCCGGAAAATAAGATGCATGTCGGTGTCTACAGCTTTCTTGTTTTAATTTTCAAATGTTTGGGGTATCAAGTATCCTCAAGCACTTTTACACTCACCTTGTAGGTGAGTGTTGCACTGGCGATTTTGTTTCAAGCTTAATTCTCACTCCAGCAAGTTGTGTGACTCAAGTGACTGAATTTATTCCCAATCTGTTGGCTACAGTTTCCTGTCCTCACACTCACTTTTAGCTTGAACTGATATAACTATCATTCTTCATTCTATGGTGTCATGCGGCCTAATTTTCTTGTATATAAATAACGTATGTTCAAAATATACGATTCATATATCGGAGGCTGATATTTGTGTTCTGGATTGAACGAGCTGATTTAAGCAAAAGCTACCATAAAGAAGACCAATAAGGACTCAGAATTAGCAGTATGTTGCTCGTGTTGTTTGACACATCCTTAGTTTGGCACAGGGACAAAGGTCATAGAAGTCAGTATCCTAGTTGTCACGTGATATTTGATGAGCCACAAGACATAACGACGAGGAATAACTGTTTATATTAATGTAAATTAGTGCTATCACCCTGTCGATTTCAAAACAAAGTAACTAGGTACGTGATGGTCCTAAATATCCCTATGACTTTGGGTGTACATTATTACCCAAACAAATGTTACTACCCGTTTATCCAAACAATAATTACTCACTCAGTATTCAGATTTAAATTGCAATCAGCTGATAATTTGACAAATTATATAAGAGTATTACCAAGTGCAATAATTAAATAATCTTATCAATACAGGAGTGATATTATATCCTTTTGGGATAGATCTTGTACAGATTGTCCGAAAGATAATATTTAGTTTTGTTATAACACCAAAATGTTTTCAATTCTGAAAGAGGGCTTTCATTCACAGTCAAAATGTGTAATTATAGTCAAGCAATTCAAATGGGATTGTTCTAATTTCATAGGTTACACCATACTGACTCCAGAATAGTTCATAACACCGGGAGATGGATGTGGACGTCTTATCAGTTACATTGACTACGTTGCAATCACAAAAGGTCAGGTTCGGAAAGCTAGAGTTTACCGTATTGTGACATGTATATTCACTGATTTTTGTAACGACAGTACAAAAACCACATTTCCTATTTGTCACACTAAATGTAACCGAATTTATATTCAATATCTATTGACGGTTATTATATATACATTTTTATTGCATAACTATTCAGTAACTATATAATATGTATATTCATATTCTTTTTATTACAAGCTTCCAATTGACCTATTGACTACTAATATACAGTTTACTATTATTAAGTTTCTCCCAATTTATTAGTTACAGTATCTGACACTCACAGCCACTTTTTTCCTGATGTTGTATAATTGTTATTTTCTCTTTTATGGTATGGTGCGGTCTAATCTGCTTGTAATATGAACCACGTATGTCTGAAATACATGATTCATATACCGGAATTTGATATTAGTGTTTTGGACTGAACTGATTGGATTATGTTAGAAGCTTCTACCTCGAAGGATTAATAAGAAATGAGGGTTGACTCCAGGCTGTTCGTACTAGTTCATGCGTCATTGGTTTGATCAATAAGTCGGTGTTCTAAATGGTGATGTTACTACATGGTATATTAACAGGTCATAAGAACATAACAGTGATCACATGCGGACACCCTCAGGATCAACCACTAACTGGGAACACAACAGTGAGTTCCCACTTGCATTCTGTGGATGTCCTAAAATAAAGACCTATCAGCTTAGTCGCCGTCACTTCGTTGAACCATTTGAAGTGAATGCAAAATGACCACAAATATGTCATGTAGTTTTCTTTCATCTGAAGTATTAAATTAAACCAAAATAAAACTTACAGTGGTCAGGTCTTCACAAAGTTACATGTTAGTACTTCCATCCTTTGTTTTCTTAACCTCTCCACCAACATGTATTCTCACCAAAATTTCAAGTAATAATTTGGTAATTTCGAACACTTAATATTTGATAATTCTGAATGGACACTTATAACTTCAGCGCTTACTGGAGATCTGACAGTCAATGATCTCAGCTATTCCACTGTTCAGCGAAAATGAAAGCGAAAGGCGATCAAATTGGGAAGATAGTATTAATTCTAGATTTTTATAAAAATCAAAATACCGAGGCGTTTCCCTTCACTAAGCTAAATTTTATGATTTTGATGGTTTAGAACGCATCAACACTGATGTTTTCAATTTTATAAATTTTAATTTAAGTATTACCAAAAATGTCGTTGATCGTGAAAAGATATCCTTGCACCTGTGCCCTTAAAGAGTACAATAGGTCTTCTGTTATTGCATCCTTTGGACTTAAAAAATAACTATTCGGATGTTTGCTTTCCTCTGAACCCCATTAAACATGAGTTTTCAGTCTGTATTTTCATCCAAGCTGTCTGAAAACCTCCTATTATTGACTGGGTAATGTGACAAACGTAGTTGTTAACGCCCAAGATGTCTATTCACGGTGGATTGTAGCATGCAGCGAGGTGAGTGTTTAGCGGTAAATAAATCCCCAAAGTAAATAGCTCTTTAAGTCTTAAACATTGGATGCTGACCACATTCGTTTTAAAGGACTCACCTAACTGAAGGCGCTCGGTCATGCATCCGCACCAGGTCACGAGTGAGGACGTCGTGCTCAACATCCCATGCAATCGCTAGCCAGATTAGATCGATCGATCCTCGATATATTGATAGCCCAACAAACATATCTTCGAACCTCCTAGGTTCTGTCTTCTGATTTCACTTGATGGGGACGATTGACATTAGGAGGTGTTACTGGTTAAAGCGTTTTCAAACTCCAAATACCTGTGGCATGTTCATTAGTGAGCCCGACGTGATCTGGTACACCAGATTGCAAACTGTGAGTCTGTTCTTTATTCGGATCTCATAAATTATTGCTTTATTTTGATTTTCATGCATTGTGATATTTTTTCTGTGTTTTTGGTTTTATATATATAGATTTTTCATTCGTTCATTCTCGTACTTGACATTTCACCATGAATGAACAGATACCCAAGGT